GCTGAAAGATGAGAGTAGCCATCTAGGCTATTCAGTGGATGGGGAGAGAATACTATACTATGGGAGGTTTTTGCTGCCATAAACCTCAATTCATATCCTGCACTTCTACAAAATACATATAAGAGACTGCCTGCTGAATTAAATTGAGAAGGAGATGCACAAGGATGTAGAGGAGATAACGGCTCGTTGTGAGCCAAAGGAATAAGTATATGGCTATGGCTCCAGGGGTTTTACTACAGCCGTTGGCAGTTCCAATCAGAGTGTGGAAAGAGGTCTCTATGGATTTTATATACGGGCTAACACGATTGGAGGGGTTTATAGTTATTCTGATGATGGTGGTGGACAGACTAAACAAATATGCCCATTCATTCCTCTACAACGTCCTTACATGGAAGTAACAATGCCATCAACTTTCATTAGATCAGTGGTCAGATTAAACGGGATATCTGTGTCTATAGTGTCCAATATAGACAAGGTATTCCTCAGTTACTTTTGGAGGGAGTTGTTCATATTGTAGGGAACTGTTTTGAAGAGGAGCACTATTTACCACTTTCAGACTGATGGGCAGTTGGAGGTGGTCAACAAGAGCTTGGAGACATCTATGATGCTTTGCTTCAGAGACACCTCGACTGTGGGTAAGTGGCTGGCGTGGGCAGAGTATTGATACAACATTTTGTATCATTTGATGTCCCAAATGGATCCTTTCAAAGTGTTGTATGACAGGGATTTGCCTCGCTTGGTGCACTTTGGGCAGAGTAGCACATCAGTCTTTCAGTGGTGTAGTACTTGGAAGAGCGTGATAGGATACTATAGGAATTGAAAAAACATATGTTGAGAGCCTAATAGATTATGAAAAGGCAGGCTGATGAGAACAAGAATAACGTTCAATTTGAGGTAGGGGATAGGATGTATTTGATGCTTTGTCCATACAGGCAGAGGACAGTGGCTAGTAAGAGGAATGGGATGTTGGCTCTGCGGTACTTTGGCCCTTTTGAGATAAAGGAGAGGATCGGAGCAGTGGCGTATCGACTAAAGCTACCTTCGACTGCGATCATACACTTGGTATTCCACGTGTCGTAGTTGAGGAGAGGTATAGGGGATCACACCTCAGTTGCATAATTACCAGTGATGTTAACAGAGGACCTGGAGGTGGTTCTGGAACTGTGGGAATTGGCAGGAGTACGACAAGGGGAGGGAGGAAGGAAGTGCTGATTCAGTAGAAAAACCTACTTGAGTACGATGCTACTTGGGAGCTGTATGAGCAGATGAAATACCAATTTCCATCTTTCCACCTTGAGGATAATGTGATTTTTTGGGGGATGGAGTATTGATAGACCAGTCCAAGATGGTCCGGTCCAGACGACCCAACACCAAGACTGGCTCGTGGTCTATTCCAGGCGAAATTGGGAGTAGCCAGCCCCCCTTGTGGGGATCATGCATTGTTGGAAAATTCAACTAGGAGGGGGGCGGTTTAGGAGGGAAATTATTCAGGGAGGGGTTGTTTAGTAATTATGCTTTTATTTGTATTTTTTTTAAGAGGGTTGCCGAGAAAGTCAACCCTATACCATTCATAAATTATGTTGGTCATATCTTGATAACTATACAACGCTCGTTGATTAAATGATGTGCGTGGCATACATAGCCAACCGACCCATTTTTTGCTTTTATTTGTATTCTTTCGCCTGGATTAGTTCTTCTTGCCTTAGTGTTATTCGTTGGCTTTTTTAATCTATTTTTCTTCATCATCCTGTGCATACATAGCCAACCGACCCATTTTTTGCTTTTATTTGTATTCTTTAAATAGAGGATGATGAAGAAAAATAGATTAAAAAAGCCAACGAATAACACTAAGGCAAGAAGAACTAATCTCAATTCAAAATTTAGTAAGCCAACACCAAACAAATCTTAAAACAAACCGAAGTTAGATAAAAAAAATACCCTTAGAACAATCAACTAATGGTCACTTCACATGCATCGAAATAGAAGGAAAAAGATTAGTGCTCAACGACATGCAAACCAGAGGTCCACCATAGCAACTTGGGCCAACGTCCACCATAAACTCCTACAAATGCTACCAAACCGGCCAACCAACACCTTCAAAAGCTTGAGAAGATAGATACAAGTGGGGTGGAAACTTGTGGAGAGAAGAAGTAGGTAAGAAGCCCGAGACAAAATCAAAGAGAGGAGAAGAGAAAGTGGATATAGCTCGCTAGCTATCCAAGGACCCATATTTTTTGATGTTTTCACTCACCAAAATCTGGTCTCAAATGCCTCAAAACGGCCAAAACAGCCGCCCATATAAGCCAATAGGAAAGGGGGAGGCAAAAGACCAAAAGTCCACCGCTTGGAGCAGCACACGAAGAGGCACGCGGGACTCATCCAACGAACATACAACGCTAGGGGGAAAGAAACGGGTAGGCAGAGGAAACAAAAAGGCAAATAGGGGGAATGAACCCGACCAGCAGAAATAGGAACCAGTAACCAGCACACAAGCCATCCACACCCGAAACAACCAAACCACACCCAAGGAACTAGGGTCAAACCCAAGTCAGCCACAAGCCATGGCACCTAGAGGTGTCAATTTCAGGTCACGGGTCGGGTTCGGGTCGAACCCGAAATTGACCCGGCACTATTCGGGTCAACCCGAACCCGACCCGTTTTTAAAAACGGGTCGGTTTCCTGGACCCGAACCCGACCCGCTTCGGGTCCGGGTCAAACCGGCCCGACCCGAATGACCCGTTTTCAACCGAAAAATTGCTAATTTTCGGGTCAAAAACGGGTCAATATCCTCTTTTCGGGTCAAAATCGGGTCAATCTCGGTTAAAATCGGGTTTTCGGGTCAAAATCGGGTCACTTTCGGGTCAATTTCGGGTCCAAGGGTTAACCCGAACCCGACCCGTTTCGGGTTCGGGTTGACCCTAACCCGAAATTTTCGGGTCGGGTTCGAGTCGGGTTTTTGGGTCATGTCAAATATTGACACCCCTAATGGCACCCAAGAAACTAGCACACCAAAGGCAATGCATGTCCAAGAGCACAACCTACAAATGATCATTAGTTGCCTTCCATCATAGGGTAGAAAAAAACATAAAATTCAAATTACAATAAAGTTAAAAAAATAAAAATTAAAATGAAATTTGCACTAATCAGAGGATAAGGGATTATAGGGATAGGGTTATGTGAGATGTTTGCTAGCTTCTGAATTTTCTCTTAGGTGTTTGGGTTTCTAGTCACCAGCTAGAGATTGGGAGAGCCTGATCTTCCTCAAGAATTGAAGATCATTGTATCTTGTTTGCTTTCTTCTTACTATTATCAATTATCAAGTTTTCTAGTGTTTTGCTATGGATTTATCTCAAAATTCTGTTGAAATTCCAAATTTCAGCCAAGGTTTCTTCAATTTATGCATTTGTTTCCTATCAGAAAATTCCCCTCATAAACTTAATCTTTGTTGAGGACTACTTGGAACATCGTTTGGTCTTTTTCATATTTCAACAATATTTAATTTGAAAATTGGAGGTGATTTTTCTTTCTTCACAGAGGACTTCTGACTTTGATATGCACCGAAGCATGAGGGCTGCAAGTGAACAAAACATTCGACGACTACTCGTTGCTCGGTTCAATTAAAGCTCGTTTTTGATCGTTTAACTAACTAAACAAACAAACTTGAACAATATTTTTAATACTCGATCCTTAAATAAATAACCTTGAACATTGATGTGTTTGGTTCATTTATGTTCACGAACAACATCACTTGAAGCTCATGAACATGCTCGATAAGAAGCTCGATAAAAGCTTGATTCGTGTTCGATTCAGAACTCGTGATACGCTTGATAAAAACTCGATTAATATTTAATTATAAAATTGATAAACAAACATAATATAAATATTTTAATTTATTATAATATAATGATATAATTATTTTTCATTGATAAATTCTAAAGTAATTAAATATTATAATATATGCTGTAGTTTTAATTTCCTTACGATTGCTAATTTATTATATTACATCGTTAGATATTGTTCTTTTGATAGCTCAAGAATACCCGTTAGATTTGTTCATGAACATGTTTGTTTGATAGTTTAAAAAAATTCGCTAAATATGTTCACGAACAGAGCTTGTTAAGACATTGCTTGTTTAAAGCTCGATAATCACTAAACAAACCGAACATGAACTGAACATGAACCAAACATGAACATTAATTTAAACGAACCAAACATGAACACAAACAATAAAGCTCGAATCAAACATAAACCGAATTTGAACAAGCTAATAATAAACGAACTCAAACATGAACACTCACATACTCAGGTCGGTTCGGTTCGTTTGTAGCCCTACGAATCATCATCTTTTATCAGTGTGCGACCTTTGTTGATGGTGCTAACTTTGCTTGCCTCTGGCATGCCAAGGCTGCATCTTCTTCTAAAGGACTTGCATAGGTTATTAGGGTTATATATTTTGCTTTTTCAAAACTGACCTATCTTGGTAAGATTGCCACATGTACTGCTATCTCTTGTTGGCACCTTTCTTTTTCTTCTTTTGGGAAGATGAAGGGGCAAGTTTTGTTAAGCAAGTCTACTGTAGCCAAATTTGTAGTTGTGATAGTTGGTCACACTATTATGACTTGCTGTTTCCAGTTTCTTCTTTAGTGAAATAAACATATCAAGTTTATAAGATCTTAAATTCGTCTCCATGTTAAGTTAAAAGAGCATAGTGTTAGTTGTGGTTTTATTTCTAACTCTAAATGCTCGTTTAACGTTGCAATAAGATTTTTATTTCTTGCCACCATTTGAATCTATAATGGCGCTAGCAATAGATTATGATGCGGTGTCTAACCCTAAATGCCTGCCTAGAATTTCATGAGATTTTTATTTCTTGTCGCTATTCAAATCTATAATAGCAAGAACTTGCAGAAACTTCAAATAATTTCTACTGTTAGCATAAGATTACTTCATATTTCATGATTGATGCAGTGTTCAAAAGTTAAATTCATTGATGACTGTAGGTTGAAATCAAGAAGGCTGAACCCAAAAAAGGTGGTGGAGAAATTGGAGCCAATGGAAGAGGCTTTGGTTATGGAGGCGGCGGTTCATATGGATATGGAGGCGGCTCCTATGGCTATGGCGGCGGCAGCGGTGGTTATCGATCCATGGGCAATAGCTATTATGGAGGTAGAGAAGGTGGCGGTGGTGGATTCTATGGCCGAGGAGGCTATGGCTATGGCTATGGCTATGGTGGCGGTGCCGGCTTCGTACCTGGCTATGGCGAGCCCATATACGGTTCGGCTGCATATGGTGGTGGTAGTAATAATGTCTACGGTGCTGCAGCTGGTGGATACGGTGGTCCTGTCTATGGTGGTTATGGCGGCGGCGGCGGTCGGGGATATGGGAGCCGTTATCATCCCTATGGAAGATAAGATTTGAATTTTTATTTCTTCCAATTAATTCCTTGTGAAGACATATTGTTGATGTTTGCCTTATAAATATTCGATTTTGTTTTGTTGAGCAAACTTTATGGAGCTGAATCATTACTACAGAATTCTAATGTTCCTGGCATGGCGATTGTATTCTGCCCATTGCCCAATGCTGATGCAAGTATTTTTTTTTTTTAAGCTATTACTTTGCTTCAGAGGATTTCTTATCAAAACTTTATTGTATTTTTCTTCGTTAAATCCTTCATTCTATGTTAGATTATTGAGCTGCTTCTATTCCTGCTGAATATGCATGAATGTATAAAATCTAAAATTATGTTATTATGCTATGAAATTATTCTTAGAGTTAGTAAATTTGTAATTTAGTAATTTGAATAAAAATAAGAAGATAATAATTTAATTCTGATTAGATATTTGTGATTTAAATTTAGTGTTATATTATAGAGGAGAATTGTATATAACTTTTGGATAAAAGATTAAATTCGGGATTGAAATAATTATTTAAATAAAAATTAAGGTTTATATATTTAAATAGATGAAAAATAATATTAAATAATGAGATCAATTTTTGTATAAGAGAGATAATTCAAGTTGAATGAAAATAATAGAACATCTGTCAAGAAATTATTTATAATTATAAGCATAAAATTAAGACAATTAGAGCTTAAGGATTACAACTTTTTTACTGTATTTTAAAATAGTTTTTTTAGTAAGTTTTGTTTTTTAATAAAAATTATTTTAATAAAAATTTATTTTAGAAAGTAATAAAAAAATTGTTTTAAATGAAGCCTAAATCTGATACAACTTCATATTAACAAATGATTAAAAAAATTGGCATGTACTTCTGCTATTAAAAATGTTTAAAAATTAGAAAATTTTCCAAATTGTTGGCTACCACTTCCAAATTAAAATTTGAGTTAAAAAAGAATAATATTAGTGCAGCTTAACCTTTAGTTAGTACTCACTAATATCAACGAGCTCACACTAATGATGATCACCTCACGAGCAATTGCAAGCCACTAATGGAGCTGCAGGCAAACTTTGAGCTAATGGAGGAAAAACAATTGAAGTTAAATTTATTTTAATCAAATAATATTTTAAAACACGTTAGAGCTATGTTGCACTGATACGGATACGGCGACACAGATACGACACGATACGGATACGAGACATGTCAATTCTTAAAAATATATGAACGGGTACGGCGCGGATAAATCATATATAAAAATTAAGAAAACAATCAAAGCATAATATTTGAAATGAGAAAAAAATGAAAGCAACATCATTTGTAGCATTGTAGCTTACAATATCAAAATAAAAATAAGCATCGAGTCAAGGGAAGAGCTAAAACTCATTGCCTAATAAGTATTTTGTGGCATGATTATACTAATTATGTTATTGAATGATTTGGTGTCATGTTTACTAAATAACATATGAGATTTAAATTTTTTTTTTTCCATTTAAGAAGACATACAAATCACAATAACATGATTTTTTTAATACATGAAACAAAAATCAAAGCATTACAAATGCAAAATAATTTGATGCCATAATATCCTATTTTATAGTAAACTAACATCAATGTAAATGGCTCGCAAGTTAAAAAATGAGAGAATCGTGCTCGCAATTACGGAAGTAAATATGACGCGTCTTTTTTCCGTCTTTCAACAGACACGCATATACGATACGCATGTCCTTTTGAAATTAAATAGTATTTTAATTGGATACGGCTTTGACGTATACGACACATATCAGTGCAATATCGAACCCGTATCTGTGTCCGAGACGTATCTGATACAACACGCCTTCATAAATAGATGTATTGATGCAACATAGTGTCAGAGGAATGATTTTAGTCCCACATCAAAAGATGAAAATTATGTGTTAATTGAAAATTACATTATTATTATTAAAGCATTAATAACTAATTATGTTCTTTTTAATTAAAACAAATAAATATTACTTGAAGAAGCTTGATTAACAACTCTTATTCTTTTAGTTAAAAAAGGATAAACTATAAAGAGCTTTTAACAAATAGTACATCAATATTGTTGAAGTAAAATGAGAGGCCAAAGCAAGTACCCCAATTCAAACTTTATTGAAATATAGAGCATCTTTTCATTGTTCCTTGCACAAAGAACAAAAAATATGCAATCATTTTCCTTTGCTTTCTTTCTCATGTACATAAAGCAATAATTTTTTTGCTTCATCAATTAAGGCTTCATTTGAGACGGCTTCATTACCACTTAAAATAACTTTTTAATACAAAAACCTTAATTTTTTACTAAAAAGCTGCTTTAAGTAGTAATAAAATTGTCTCGAACAAAATCTCATATCCCAGTTTTTAATTGTCTGAGATGCCCAATCTTAGCCACCATGGATTTCATGATATAGAAGCTCAACAAAGCAGTGCATCAATTTTCTTCTAAATCATCCATCCATCCCTTGTACCTCCAAAGCAAAGCTTCTGCAAGTTCAGCTTCAGTAAGAACAAACTTGTTATAAAAAGCAGCTCCTCTAATATATCAACTTCATATCAGATTCCTTCATTTGCTGAATAAATTCTGACACTACTCTTGAGACCATCGATGTCTTCTTAACCAAAATCCACGCACAAATCCATGCTCGCTCGAACTCCCCGACCCCAACCCTCCCACCCTTTGCCAAAAAAGCCTGCTTCCACCTGTTCTTAATGGACCTGAGCTTGAATACCGTCGAAATGAACCAGAAGCATCTCCTGCAAAGCTCGAAGATGGACCGAATACATCTAATTCATTTCTCTCTCTAGCTGTTCCATGACACAGCTCAACACTTATTCCACTCTCCACATCTCTTACTGACATTTCATCCTGACTGTAGCTTACTGATTGCCTATACTCATCACTCTCATTGTACACTAATTTTAATGCCTGAACTACCTCACTCATTAATGGTCTGTGCGATACTTCAGGCTGAACACACATAGAAGCAATGGCTAATACTTTAGCCACACTGTTCTGAGGATAATTAGCACCAAGAACTGGATCGATAATTGCTTGCAATCCTTCAATGTTTGTGAGAAGAGAACGAGTCCAAGCAACCAGATTCTCATGTCCAGGAGGCTGTGACATGTCAATAGGTTTCCTCCCAGTAAGAAGCTCAAGAAGAACAACACCATAGCTGTACACATCACTCTTGACAAGAAGATGCCCAGTCATTGCATACTCAGGGTCCACATAGCTGAGAAAAAAAGAAGAACTCAATCATTTTAGGATGCCATTAACCATCATATACTGCAATTTGTGAAGGCTGAAAGATAGTGATTAAGTTTGGATAGTTTTGTACCCGAAAGTTCCCATTACTCGCGTCGAAATGTGCTCTTTTCCTTCATCCAAAGCGGACCTGGCGAGCCCGAAATCCGACACTCTGGGAGTAAAATCATGTTCTAATAAGATGTTGCTAGATTTGAAATCACGATGAATGACACAAGGGCTTGAATCTTCATGAAGATAGGCTAGGCCTCGAGCCGCCCCTAGCGCAATCTTTACTCGAGCATTCCAGTCAAGTGGAGCAGTTTCCTTGTCAACACCTGGGAAGAACACATCAAATACAGCCATAGAAATATGGATCTAGTTACGTTTACAACAACAACATCAAGCCTTTGTCCAACTACGTGGGGTCAGCTACATGAATCTTTTTCGTCATTGTGTCATGTTAAAAGTCAAATTCTCATTTAAATCTAATAAAGAAAGATCATTTCTAATATTTTTTAACCAAGTCTTTTTAGGTCTACCTCCATCTTTTTTAACATAAGTCAAAATCTAATACCTCTAGTTGAGGTCCTCTACTTTCCTGACAGGGTCACCCTAAGACCTCCGTTTAATGTGGCCAAACCATCTAAGGCATCTCTCTCTAATCTTATCTTCCATTCGAGCTACTCCAACATTTTCACTTATATGCTCATTTCATATCCTATCTCTAAGAGTAAAGCCACTCATTCACCTAAGCATCCTCATCTCTGCAACAATACCTTAGTATTTGGCTTCTCTTTTAATGGATCCAGTTACGTTTAAGTGATATAAATCAGTACAGGAGGCACTGGCCAATGTGAGGTATATGAGGGTCCTCATATACAAGAAAGGCAAATAAAAGATACAATGTTTCTGAATTCTTACCATGTAGATGCGATTCCACACTGCCATTAGGAATGAGTTCATAGACAAGGCAACGTACATTTTCGTCGGTGCAAATGCCGATCAACTTGACCAAATTCCTGTGATGCAAACGGCTAAGCATCTCAACTTCAGCCAAGAATTCTCTCTCACCTTGCCTATCAACTCTCTTGAGAACCTTTACAGCCACCATTGTTCCATCTTCAAGAGTTCCTTGGTATACTCGACCAAAACCACCTTCTCCAATAACTCTTGAATCATCAAATCTGTTTGTGGTTCTTTCCATATCAGCCAGTGTGAATGTCTTGGCTGAGCCATTATATGTTGACATGCTGGAGCTTAAGGAGGCTGATGTTGAACTTGGTCCAATTCTAACATTCATAGGAACGCCTATTTTTGTAAAATTGAAAAGTAGAATATTTAGAATATAGATGTTTAAAGCGAAAAAAGAAGAAGTTGTGCTAGTGATTTTGTTAAAACTTGAAATAGGATTTTCATATGAAAAATATAACAAAAGAAATGATAATGCAATTCTGGTGATAACAAGCCTATTTTAAGGCACAAACACCGAGCAATCGATGCTTACTCTTAGATGGAATTGTAGTAATTCCTCTAAACAAATTATTAGGGAATAGAATCAAGGTCTACAATTGCTTTCTCCACACCCATAATGTATGACAATAATAAATAAAACTACCAAGTGATATGCAGTCACTTTTTATTTTAAATATATCCTAAGCTATGCTCTTAAGACAGGTGGGCGGTGAGAGCGGTAGAGAGAGAGAGAGAGAGAGAGAGAGAGAGAGAGAGTATAAGGGAGGAGATTTTTGTGACAAGGAATACAGAAAATCGGTTGAGTATTTCTTTTCAACATTTATGTAGTATTTATACAAACGATCCTAAGAGAATAAACATATAAAATCATAGAATAAAAGTTGTAAAATAATCATAATAGTCTATGAATTGGTAAATGGGAAGAATAATAATTGCAAAATAAATACAATAGTCCTTGGATTGATGAATAGGTAGTAGGGATTCCATGAATCAATGAGATGACACCAAAACTGAAAGAAAGAGGGTGAAAATTTTGTTGAGAGTGAAGCTCAACTAGCAGAATTTATGCTGGCACTTTACATTATAGTATTCATATTATCCAAAAAGCACTAGGACAGGAGGAAAAATACTGTTTAAGGTGGCATGCAAGGTAAGAAGTATCTAGATGCTTAGGCAGTGAATGGAGTCAAGTATTGTCTAAGGCTTAGTTTGGGACGACTTTCTTGCTGCTTCTTAAAGAAGCTTTTTAATACAAAAATTTAAATTTTTATACTAAAAAACTGCTTTAAGAAGTGGTAAGAAAGCCGTCCCAAACGAAGCCTAAATGCTTCTTGGTGCCTTCGGAAGAAAATGTTGTGATGCTTTGTCTATAATATTATCTTACAAAACAAAATGATTGAGCTCAATTAAAAATGAGTTCAGAGGCATCAATTCCTCAGCCTCCTAATAAAACTTATGTAGATATATATTACCAAAAATGAGTATCCTCATTACAAACCACCCGTTTGGAAATACTCTGCAATATATGAGTTCTTTGCATTCCTTCATGGTGCTGGAGTAGATACTAATAAAAAATACAAACATTCAACAAATTTTGATGATGAGGTACCTGATGATTTTGCAATTGGAAGTTGTGAAGATTGAAAATTTTGTGGAAGCAGACCTGTTAGGTCCCTATTTCTTAACAACAGAAGCCATGCAGCGCCAAAGATTAAAACCAAGGCTATCAATGAAGTCATAGCAATAATAGCTATCACGCTGGCACCCAGATTTTTCTTTTTCCTTCTTAAATCAACTGCAAGAGGATGAATCGCTCTTCCATTATTGTTACTAGCATATGCTTCCCCATTAAGATATGCTGATGTAGGTGGTGATGGGGGAAGGCCTGCATAAATCCATAAAATTTAACTTAGGGGATAAAATTTAACACGGATAAGTGCCCCCCCTCTTGGCGTATCATTACACTATCGCTTACGCTCTTCCATTATTGTTACCCTCAAAAATTGCATACGAGTTCTTTTGGAGGCTTGCAGGTATTGTGGGTTGTAATTTCTTGCCTATCCTAATCCCTGCTATTTATGTTGGGAAGTTACAAATGCATTCAAGGCTTTGATTCTCATGGTTCAGCCTATTTTGACTATAAATGGAGAATCTAGGGAATTTCAAATTGCATCTGGAATTAATTTAAACCTAAATTAAATTGATACTAATCCAATCATATCAACTAGTCAAGTGATATAGAGTCTATAAATAACTGTTCTAAGGCACGTAATTAAGAACTTTGGCATGAATAACATACTCTTTCAAGTTTTCAATCTTGTGAATGTAAGATGAGTGCTTCCTTGGAAATCAACAATTTAATTTGTGAAAATTAAATTACAACTGCTTGCTGATTTTATGTGGTTCCTAATGCTCACTGAATTTCTCAGATCATTTTGATCATTTCATTATTAATTGGGTTTTAATTTACTATTTCCTGTTTCTATTTAGAGAAAGCATGTGATTGAATCACTTGTTGGCTTGAAATATGTGAATAATCAATTTTCGTTCAATTTAATAATAGTACACATCAAATTGATTGCATTCAAAAATTCAAATCATTCAGCATCATTAGATTCAGAAATATGATGATAACTATAAAGTGCTGGCATCAGAAGAAAACTGAATTTGTTAGGATTGCATTGGGCCAGATTTGTTAGTTTGATTAGTTTGGGATTGTTTTCTTATTGCTTCTTAGAACAAATTTTAGTAAAAAAATAAAATTTTTGCATTAGAAAAATGCTTTAAGAAACAGTAAGAAAGCCGTCTGGTTATACCACATATTCAAGTTAAAGTGTGATGCTGTGATTCTAAGAAACTAGTTCAACAAAAGAAGTCCACTAACCTGGATAGCTAACATATAATACAACATAGTCTCCGAAATATGAGGCTTGTATTGAAACTTGGTTTTTCCAGAACTTCTCAAAGGTTATAAAAACTGTTGTGTTGTCAAAGGATTTTCCAAGTGGAACCAGATCGATAAGCACATCTGTCTTCTCAGGATCTTCAATTGCAGAATTTGCTCCCATAATGCGTACATGACTTCGCTTCATAGAAACTCCAGTAGCAATTTCTTTTGCAAATTCAGAAACCAAGGGAAAGAATATGTACAAAGCAACACCAAGGCGCAGGCCAACTTTAATTGGTAATACACACTTACAAGGTGATCCAGGACATGGATTTGTAAATGGTGATTGGCATACAACAGGGCCACAGTCTGCAATTAAGTGAATGATACCAAAAACAATCAAGCATTTCAAGACAACAATGCATTGAGGAATGCTACTAACATAACGGACAATAGAAAGTACCTGAATTAGGAGGAGGAGGGGGTAATGACCGTTTAGGTTGCAGTGGTGGGGACGACGACTTGCCTCCAAAAGTTGCAGAAGGAGAAGCTTTTGGAGGATGAATTTGCCCTATTAAGGGAAAAGATCAAGTCTGTAACAAAACAAATTCAATAGTAGAAAATGTGGATAGAAAAGAAGAAAAGCAAATGAACTTACATGTTATATAACTTGTGGGACTGGCTGATGATGGCAAAGGAGCAGCAGATATTTCACTATTTGATGAAGTTGGAGCCTGGATTGGAGGGGCATTAGGGCCTGCAATGAGGAAAAAAGGTTATTACGTAGTGCCACTTATCACGTTCTTCATATTTTTTTTCTAATTGTTTTAGCACCTTGAGGAGATGGTGAAGGAGCATGATGCCTTCTGTTCCTCTTTGAAGTCTCGATTGGAGGGTGCAAAGGAGCTGTACTGATCTTTGGGCCTTCCACATAAGGTGGGGAAGCATAATTCTTTGTCTTATTATTTGAAATCTCAACAGGAGAAGGGGAAGGAGCTAGATTGATCATAGCACCTCCAATATAAGGTGAAGGAGCATAACTTCTCTTATGTTTTGGAGTCAGCATGGGAGCATGTGGGGCAGATGGGTTGATCTCAAAACCATTAAAATTAGCTGGAGGAACTAAATGCCTTCTCTTATTCTTTGGAATTTCTATTGAAGAATTGAGAGTAGCAGAGATCACATGGTGGTCAGCTTCATAGGGTTGAGGAGCATGGCGTTTTCCTTTATTAGGATGGGGGCCATAATTCTCTCTCTTCTTAGAATTTTGTGCAGGAGCACTTAAAAGAGCTGGTAAATCAGAATAACCCAACAAAAGAAAAAAATAAAATTAGTTATCAAGACTTTAAAGCTAGGACATATTCAGTAATGAATAGTGATGATGATAATTCAGAAATATAATCCAACCAGAAGGTTGCGATGATGGCGGATGCAGAAAAAATGGGGATGAAACAGTGCTTCCTTCAATTCTGTCAATTTTTTTCTCAGTAGGTGAAATTGCTGGTGCAGGCTTTGGTCTGTGAATTTTTCTTCTTTCTGGAGAATGGGGAGGTGAGTTTGAAGGAGCATGTGCAGTGTTTGCTTCATTTTGTGGATGTGAAATGTGTGAGGATGATCCTAAAGGAAATATTCTTCAGCGAATGAGTACCTTAAACAAACCATTTCAGCATTTTTTGAAAAGGAGCATAAGCAGAGTACCTTTGAAGTGTGAATAGTTTTTGGGAGACAAATGGCTTGATGTTTCTGTTGGAGTTGCAGCCATTGAGGACATTGGCAGACCTGTATCAACAATATGGTATTAATTGATGAAGGGCATATCCAAGTACATGAGGCTACTCTAAAATGCAAGGGTTTGTGCCTTTGTGGAGGTATTGATGTATACAATCTTAACAGGGCATTGCTAAGAACCTGTTTCAGGATTCAAACCCATGAACTCAACACAATAGAGGCAACTTAATCATTGATCTAAGGCTTCATTTGGAACGGCTTTCTTTATGCTTCTTAAAGCAGCTTTTTAGTGAAAAAAATAAAACTTTCCTACTAAAAAGCTGCTTTAAGCAGCAGTAAGAAAGCAGTTCCAAACGAAGCCTAAACCTGCCATCTATCAACTGACCAAGAGTATTCATAAATTAATTGAAGAATAGAGGCGAGAGATGCTCACTGTTGAAGCCTTTTGCAAGTGATGGAGAAGACATTGATGGATGTATTCCTTCAGAATCCGGCTGAACATTTTGAATCTTTCTTTGAGATGGAGCTGGTGACAGACAAGAAATGAGAAATCAGATGTACATAAAATTCAGAGTTAATGGATTCTTAAGTTACCTGCTTGTCATCTGTGTACCTGGGGCATGTTGCAATGTGAATGGAGAACCATTTAGGGATGTTGAACCAATATCACCTCCCTCTCTGATTTGTGTTGCTGGAGGGTTATCATGTGCAGAAGATAGGTTGTTCTCTACATGATAAAAGCAAGCCTGATATGAGTAAAACACAGGACTTCATAAGAGTTTTGATTGACATTATCTACCTGTGACATGATGAACATCTGGTGCTTGATATCCTTCAAGATTTCTTTCTCTTTGCAAATTATGCTCCTCCATAGTTGAGAATAAAATTGTACGAGATACTTGGACTGAATTTCTGATGGTAAGGGATTTACCAGTACTGCGAAGAAGATATGGTTGCTGACCATCAGGTAAGAGAGATACTGGAACTGGTGATATATGCACATTTATAGACCTGTCCAAGGAAGCACTGGGTTGCACTGATGGTACTATTTCCTCAACGATATGGGACTCAAAATTGGGCTTTGAAGGTGATATTAATGGAGGATGAGCCACTGATTCTGGAAATAAACAAAAATTTCAAGTAGCCATGGATTTTAAAGTTGTTGAGAGATAAGAAAAAATTATGAAAATACAGAGAGCGAAAAAAGTCAAAAAACCAAAAAGGTGATCAACACATAAGAAAATAGACAAGAATTTCATACAAGTTCACCCAATTGATGGCTATAACCTTTTCTTACGTTACAGATTTTATTGTTGAATGTAGAGAATTACAACCTTAATTTATGAGATACAAATATAACATGGTACCCCCTTCCTATAAGGAAAAAATTTGGGCAGCCAAAATATTATGAGATTCCCGAGATACCATTAATGAAATAATCTTAAATATCTGATACCTTTCAAGGGCTCCATCCCCAAACCCTCAAGAGTGAGCTTCCTGCCTCCTTTTCCAAACGCAACAATAAACCTACCACGAAAGTCGACCATGACTAAAGGCTATGTTATGTGTTTTCTTTGAAGGATAAAAATTAATCATCACTACATAGCATAAAAATGATTTGATTTTTATCATATTTCCTCTTCATTATCTCTGGACATTTTCATTGTACTTAATTTACATTCTTAATAGAAGTGACCAAAGGCTCATAAATGTTCATAGACTCTTTCACTCACTTCGCAGCAGCTCACAAAAAAATCCAAGATATACAATGGATTCATATTTTCTCCCAGAAAGTAAAAATGTCATTATCTTCTTCATAAAAAGTATAATAAAAGAGAAGCCTTTCGACAAAAACAATTGAAGAATCCACAAAAAGAAGAGAAGTAGTTTGCCGAGCTAAACTAGAAAAAGGTCAAAATGTAAATTAGAATGCTTTTCAATTAATACATGGAGATCAACAATTATTAACCCTTCGACAAATCAACATAAATAATAATGGATCAAAGAATAGCAATTCCCATCATCTTGAAAGGATAATGATGGTTAATAAAATGAAACATAGTTAAACTCTAAGATGGCCCATAAAAATAATACACCAATTCTATTTTTCATTACTACAATAGAAGCTCTATTTGGATTTTCATGAAGCAAATCGAAAGTAAAACACCCGAACTACCGAAGCAAAGGACAATCCAAGAAGGCAATAATAAGAGTGTCATGTGGTATAGACAAAGCTAACTTCATTAAAAATAATAGAACAAGATATAATTTTAAATTGATTCTTGAAAGACATCTCATAATTTAGTTGAAGTCAAATTCTCATTCATATAGAAATTCTTTGATATTGCATATTCAAGGAAAATAAACTAGCAAATCCAATCATGAATTGCTCTTCTATTAATGTTGAGAAATACTTATCAACTTCATACCAACCTAAATTATAAATCATCTATTTAGTCTTCATAAACAAGCTAGCTTAATATTAAAAAAAAAAGATAAAAATAATGAATGTCATAAACAAATTATGGCTTTATTTGGGACGACTTTCTTATTGGTTCTTAAAGCAGCTTTTTAATATAAAAATTTTTGAACTAAAAAGTTGCTTTAAGAAGCAGTAAGAAAGCCGCCCCAAATGAAGCCTAAATAACTGAGAGTAAACACATCATAAAAAAGCAGATCACTAACGAATGCACTATATACTAAAATCTTAATAGTTTTTAAAATCATTAAAACTAAACAGAAGATAAAAAAATAACCTTTTAAAGGCAAAACTTCTGGTAAAATAGATTCTAAATTTAGAATCATATTGGTAAATATTCATATCTACAAACTTAATGATTACAAAAATCATAACCAAGAAAAGAGGCAATATCTAAGGTTAGTTATGCTACTATTTCCTTCAAATAATTTGCATCCTTTATGAATCATCAACACATAGATATACATAGATATTGAGTAGGAAGAAGCAGCTGAGCATATCAAAACCTAAGAAAATTATCTCACCACACAATTATTTAAGAATGCTAGAATACAGTATCTATTGAAGAACAATGAAAAGTACATAGCTCCAACCACATCAAAGGGATATTTCCTTTTAAAATATGCGATTTTACAAATAAGAACATGAAAAAAGCTTTCTTGGAGCACTAATTTCTTACCTCTGGATTCAAAAATGACCAACAGAAAAATCAGAACGCCGAGAACAGAGCCAGCAAGGTTCCCTTCCATCCAACCCATCATATATCGCCGGAAAAACCCTAGCTTTAAGGCCCACGCAGACCCAAGCGCAACTTAGCCAAACCAAAACAGCACAAAACTAACACAACTAATCAGGAATAATCTACTGTGGCTGCCGTAGGAGAAAAGGCCAAGCAGGCTAATGAAAGTAAAACGAGATCCTTCATCAGAAACCAACAACATGAGAAAGAGAGCACCCAGTGGCCAAAAAAAAAACCCTTTTGAGCTCAAATTGCTATCAAAAGTTACTATTTTTAACCAGAATAATCAAAGGGGTCTCGAATAGAAAGCTAAAAGGATATCATAAGCTTCAGATAGAGATGAAATAATCAGAGAGAAGCAAGAGAATATATTTCTATGGCGAAAAATGGGAGCTTTAAACAAGAACTAACACGAAAATAGAGCTCGGCGGTAGATAAAAAGGGTAAATGGAGGGGGGTTAACTCAGCAGAGAACCAGGAGGAGACCAGAAACCGCTACTGAGCAGAACTTGCAATAAAGGATTTGAAAGTTACAATTGCAGCCACCATAATGACAACGAACAGTCAAATGGATCATAAATGGGACGATTAAAGGAGATTACAAGCGCTTAAATGAAGCTTTTAGGCTTTTAGCTCCTCTTCAACGGGAGAGAGAGATAAATAAATAGATTTCATATTGATTCTAGAATTTTAAGCAGGTTTGGATTTTGCTTTCCGTTGTAATTTCAGGCCGTGAGCCATCTATTATTGGTGCTCCGAATCAGATTTGATCAAATTCAAAAAATTTGAATTCAGTCGGATTTAAATTTGACGTAAATTTGAATTATATTTTGAGTAGAGCTGAAATGAATTGATTATGTGGGCACTCAAATTTATTATTGCATACATTTTATATATTATTTTCTATCTAATTTGGATTTGATTTAACACAAGTAATTCTAATTTAAAAATACATGAAAATTATAAAATTTAAAATTTTCAAAATTATTTAATTTTATAAAAAAATATATAAATATGAAAAACATAGAACTAACATCCAATTGGTTGAGTGAGTGACACTATGCTTGAAGTTTTTTTTCTTGAAATAAAAAATAATAATTTATGAGTGGTTTTAGATCCAAATTTGTTCATAGATGATGCTTGACCTTAGTTGCAAACCGACTCTGCTAGTGCGTGATCTGAAACTAAAAATATGTATGAGAATGAAGAGATGGGGAATGCTAGAGGAAAGCTATAAAATAAGTGCTCATAAGCTCAATTAGTCCAATAAGAATATCTAAAAAAAATCTGAGAAATATAATCCTTAAAATGCTCCTCTTCACCCCCTTATTTAAAGGGATCTAATGTAATATGCAAGTTACAGGTTGCAAAAAAAAAAAGAGGAATCTAATGGCTATAGGAAATGTTACACAAAAAAGTAAAAAGTACAACACTATATAAACCCCCCCCAGACATGTGTCGTCTCTTGATTGGCTAAAGGGAGGGAGAGAGGTGCATAGCTTTGATGATTTATCTCTCGCAAGCTTAGTAGTGACGAGTATACCAAGGGTGAGCTCCATAGTGCGGCTGAGCTTGCTAGTGTTGAGTAGGAGTAAACAAATTTTGAAGCGTGTTTTGAGCAAGTGGTGCTTGATGACTGAGTGATGTCTAGGAGTAGTTTGCAATTTATAACGAGCCTTGGATTGCTTAGAAGAGAAGGAAAATGAGCTAAGGTTATGGAGAAGATGAACATAGTGGTTGGATGGTTACAACATAGCAAGCTGAGAGGGCCCTCAGAGTAGGTGATTACTGTAGTTGGACTTGGACGTGTGAGGATGATGACACTCACCCTAGGTGGGGAAACTTGCTGCCATGGCTGCTCACTTCCAAGAGGTTAGTGATAAGTTACTTGGCCAACAAGGTCCTCCATTCCTCCTGAGAGAGGTGAACATCCTTCATAAGCTTGGGGGAGTGAGGCCTAATGTTTTTGGGCCAGTTCCTCTATGAGACTTATTAAATGTGAGTTATTTATTTATAACTCGATGACTACTTACTAAATACTTGTAAAGGCATTTACGAGTATACAAGTAGAATCATAATAACATAAATTTGTTTTGAATTTACTAAAAATTTGAGTGATAAAATTTGAATAATATTATAACCCTAAACTAAGAAACTTTACATTTTTGGGGCTAGGGGCCAGACGCGGAACTACGTGGGTAGCAGAGGGGGCAACTGCCCCCTCTAAAAAAAATTATTATAAGAGAGAGGCATTTAAGTTATTTCCCCCCCTAAGACTCTTATTTTTCCCTCATTTTTTCCCTAATCCCATATAATTACACATTCACACTCAGTTGCTCATACAGCCACTCTTCTTCGTGTGCGGCAGAAAGTTCCTCTCCCGATCTCAGTGTGGTGCCCTGACGTTAGCCTTCCAAAGGCATAGTGTCCATCGCCGATGCCGTGTCTCTCTTTAGCTTCTATGGTGAGTTTCATATTTATTTTCCATTGATCTATTTTCTGCTCTCTTTTTCCACTTTTCGCATACAAGGCTATAGCTATGATAGATTATCAGTTCTGATATAGTGATATAAATATCCCCCGTTAGTTACTGTTCAACATTTTTTCTTTCTTGCTTTTAGGCAAGCAAAGAGAACCTGCCTTTGTTATTCCGTTTGGAAAATTCAATTAAAACATCCTTCATATATACTTGATGTCTTTATAAACTACATCTTAGATCCACCGTCTATGGTTTATTAAATTTCCTTACAAAGGTTATATGCACCAACATGTTTTCTATTTTTGAATGAAGAATGCTCGTAAAATATTTAGTTTAAACTGTTGCTTGGAGATCTTCAGATGTTTTGCATGTGTTTGCTAAAATGTAAACAATATACAATATGTATTATGGACTGATCCTAATGAAGGATGGGAAGTTTATGGTTGCTCTTGTTGTAATTTTAAGAACTAGAGGGACTCCTTTTTAAAATTGAAGTGAAAACTATTTGCTTACACTTCAAGAGCACTCTTTATTTTTTCTCCTATGTCTATTTATGATAAATATTAAAATGTTGATTTCCTTATCATTCCTTTAATAATAAATGAATTTTTAATTTTAGTTCTTGGTAATATCATGTGGTTAAATTTATTATAACTCTTACTTTCGTTATGTTAATATGTTTGCAACAATCTATTTGTTTGGTGTGATTGAATTCAATAATGTATACTTAATTTTCAATTAGGTCCTAAATACCTTTCTAGAACTTAATAGATGGAACTCTATTTAAAAAGGAAAGAACGTGTAGAGATCAACTTGATCGATCTTTCGGCTGATTCTAGACTCCAACCTTCAATACAGAGTATGATATGGACAAAATTCAAAAAACTTATCTTTTGATTGGACCCCATCAACCGAGAAGTCATCAATTCCCCTAAACATTAATTAGAAATATTGCATGCATGTTTAACCCTAAATGATTTACAATGTACAAAAAGACATTATTTTTTATATTTAATGCTACCTATTCAAGCCCCAATAACAAGTTAAGAAGGGCTGCTGTTATATCTCCACCAGCTTGAGTACTGCTGTCTTGACCTGAGAGAGACTTGGGAGAGGGGGAGAGAGAGAGAGAGAGAGAGAGAGAGAGAGAGAGAGAGAGAGAGAGGAACTTGTGAGGGGGAGTTTGTGAGAGGGTTTACAAAGGTTGCTCCAAGCAAGGTTCCAAGTCATCGTCTCCGTTCTTCGTCCTTCGTCCTTGGGAGGTCTACTTTAGCAAAAGGTCTGGGTTCTCTACCCGCTTTAGGAGGAAGCAAAAGGAGTAGGTTCTTTGCTGCACCGAGGTTGGTGAAAAGGAGTCTGTTGTAAAGGCTTCTCCGCCTAGCTGAGGGAGCTAGCAGAGACACTTAGTTAATCCAATACTCGGAGGGTGCCTCTGAGGAGTGGACGTAGGTCAAGGATGAAAGTTCGTTAAGATGTTAAGCCCTATAGAACCGGCCCAAGGCTAACAAGAGGGGGGTGAATTGGTATTTAAAAATTTTTAGGCAAAGCACGAATACAAACCAAATCACCACAAATAAATACGGAAGAAAATAAATGCGGAAGCAGTAAAAACAAGAACACAAGGGTTTATAGTGGTTTGGTCAACTCGACCTACGTTCACTCCCCGGAGGCGCCCTCCGAGTATTGCACTACAATCGTGACTCTCCTTTAGCCCCTACAGCTAAGCGGAGAAGCCCTCACAAAAACACCTCCTTTTTGCCATACTTGGCAAGGCAGAGAACCCAACTCCTTTTGCTTCCTCCTGAAGCAAGCAGAGAACCTCGATCACTTGCTTGGAACTTACCTCTCTTCAACCCTTCCAAGCGACAAGAACTCTAGGAGAAGAAAGATGGAAACAAGCTTGGAGCACCCTTAGATCCCATCCAAAGCTCCCCCTCACAAGACTCCTCTCTCTCTCCTTTAGGTTTTTCTCAAGTCAGAACAGCAGCAAGGAAATGTTCAATAAATGCTGAATAAAGCTCTTAATAGAAAGCTTTAAGGAGGCTCATTAATTGCAAGTTGCCGACTATATCATCCTAAGGACCATATTGACATCGTATTGGCCGCGATCATACAAACCCATGATCGGCCATTGGGCATCGTCCCTGAGACAACTGGAATGGATTGAAATGTGCTTGATCTCGTCCAGTACGATATCACCGACGTCAGGCCCGATCAGTTAAATCAAGAGGAAAATCGTCCAGAGCATCGCCCTGAATTTGTACTGGCCGATATTAATCGTCCAGAAATAATAAGGGTTTTTGAATAGATCGTCCTGGCCGATCTCGATCGTCCAGGACGATGGATCGTGATCAATCATCCTTAAATTACTTCATTGATTTTTTGATATAATTAACGGCATAATTTGTGATATTTGCCAGGCCGATAAGAGATGGTCCTGACCGATTTTCCAAAAATATACAGAATACTTAAATTATTTATGGCGGTAATTTTCTTCTTTTTTGATCCTATGTCCTGAACCGATCACGTAATCTCCAGCGATTTGCTAATTGACGGCTTGCCTTAATTAAGAACCTGATTAGATTTTCTGTTTTAAAGCCAGATCTCCAAGGACGATGTAAATATCGTCACTGCCGATTTGAGTAAAAACAGAAATTCTAAGTCTCTTCAAGTGGTGTGTAGGGTTACTTTGCATTAGTCACACCAAAGATTACAATTGACTCAAGAGGGAAAAAATAAAATTACAGACTAACTCAACCCTAATCTACCCCATCTTGAGCTGATTCTAATTTTCGTCTGATCTTTGGGTCCTGAAACTATTTGGATTATCGTTTCTTGGGCATGATGAGTCATCCAAGTCAATGAATCAAGGAAACTATTTGGAGCTTCTTGATTTTCTTGCTAATCATAATGATGAAATTAAATTGGTTATATCTATATATGTAAGCTTTAACATAAAATTAACTTCACCAAAAATTCAGAAAGAAATTTATTCTGCTATTAATGCTAAAACTGTCACATATTATAAAAGTTATTGAAGACTCTTATTTTTCAATTATAGTCGATGAATATAGAGATGTTTCTACAAAAGAATAATTTGCTATTATTGTGAGACATGTTGGGGCAAGTCATTGAAAGATTTATATACATTACACATGTAGCTTCAACTCATGCGATGACTCTGAAGACAACCATTGAAAGTATACTTGCG